GCAGGGCGGCCTAGGTTGGATACTTTTCCCTATGCTGTTTGCCCAGCGGAGGGGACGCAATAAAGATTATGGGGTATAATATATACCGTATATATTTTCCAAGGGAAGCTTACAAGTCAAAAACTTCCGAGTTGCGGACAAATGTCCAGGGGCAATTGTCATCATGTCAACAACATAGAGGGATGAAAACAGTCTTGGGTACGAAACCCTGCGTTTTTTTCGGGCCCCTGGGGTCGCCGACGTAGGGTGTCAGAATCCGCGGGTGCGGGCTTCGATCTGGGAAAGTTGTCAACAAAAAGTGCACAGGACTGGCGAGAGCTCGGTTTCCATGTCAAAATGTTAAAAATTTGGCATGCTCGGAGCACTTTTGGAAGATCAGGTCGGAAAAATGCGCACGAGACTGCAGCGAGAGATCGAATTCAGAAAAAATCGTTTTAAATTGAGGGCCGGTGGGCAGCCTAAAAAAGTCCGCACAGTTGACATCTGTTGACGCCTGACGCTATGCGAATGTTGGTCGAATGTTGACGCTATTGGGGTTTGCAACCGGCTGTGGCAAAACGCAATGGCACGGCTGCGCACAGGAAATCACTTGCGATGCTCCTGCTTTGCTGGATTGCAGCTGGGATTAGCGAAGTGCATTGCAACAGCTGAGGGTCGTAGTTTTTGACCATAGGGCTACTCTTGTGCTATACGGGATTGCAGCTGGGGTTACTAAAGGCATTGTAAGAGCTGTGTGAAGAGAAGAATGGGGCTGCAGAGGCCACAGCAGAGGTAGCTCAGAGAAGAAGTAGCTGGGAGAAGAGGTGCCCCGGTGAAGAGGTAGCTTAATTAGCGAAGAGGTTCAGGGAAGAAGCACATAGTTCAACAAAGAAAGCTCACTCATCCCACTCATCCATCCACCCATCCATCCAGTCATTCATTGCTCATTCGTTCATTCATCAATTCATTGGTTTATTGATTCACCGCATCGTCGATCCATCAAGTCATTGATTCATCGATTCATTGGTGCATTGGTGCGTTGGTTCATTCAAACAGTTGTGCATGGATTCTTTTCTGTCATTTCACTGGCATCATCTGGCATCTCAATATAGCCATTTGATCCCCCATGTGTAGCTCCCTATAAAGTGGATATCGTTTGCGTCTATAAAGCGGGATTCCGGTCGCCACTTGATACACCAACCATGGGGGATAAAGCCGTGTTTTGCGCAAAAAAACATGCCCTTGGACCTAGCAAGTTGACTTTATACAACGTTGGTTTTTCAGTTTATACCCGGCTGGTTTCCCACAAGGACATGACTTAGTATATGCGGTAATGCACTTTATAGACCGCTGGTTCCCTTCAAAGAATGGCCACAACATGTCACACCATCAATCAACTTTATAGAAACATGTCTTCCCAATGATTTCGGGCCAATATTTTTTGTTGAGCTTTTTACATGGCAAAGCGCTTTATAGAGGGAAGATTGCCCTTTAAGAAGGGAACTTTTGCTGCAGCCAGGGCATTTTATAGAAAGAAAGTTGCTGCAGAGCATTTTACTTGTAGAACAGTTTATCAACACATATCATCATATATGTAGAGCGCAGTCTTGGACTTCATTGCTCATGGGAGAAGAAGAAGAATTATATATCATGTATATCATCATTTAATACCGTAAAAACCATCATATGAATCATATACCAGATATAATTAATTATAGCGCAATTGGCCACATGTTTCAATCTATCTAGAATATATATATATATATCTCTCTCTCTCACATCAAATTTCCCCTTTTACACAAACCGACCAGTTTACGATTCTATTCTCACTTTGCTGTGATTTACAGGTTGGTTATAAACCGGTCAATTTTTTGACGCATATTCGATAAAATTGGTAAAAGAACTTGGGTATTCATACCATAAACAAACTCTAGATAGGTATATCCACAATTTACATGATTAGATGTGCTGGTTCATGGACCCACCTGGCTATTCATATATCTACCAAACACGTACCAATTCTATCATGGGTTAGCATGGCCTGGCCTGCTGTGGCAATCAGAAATGATGGTCTGACCACTCTGGTTTGGGGATTAATATAGCCATCAAACAAAGTGAAACCAAAACCACTTCAGAATGATGTTGTGGCAAAATACCCCGGAAATCGCCACAAATCACATGGAAATTGGAATCTTCTGGCTCCAAGTGGGCCGGAAAGTGTCTCTCTCCTCGTCACCTGACACAGTCTGCAGAGGCCGAGCCCCCAAACCCTCTCTACAAAGTGGCCTGACCGGGTTACACCCCTGAAAAAACCCAGTCGATGTTGGTTGGAACACTTTGTACACTTCCAGCCCCTTCCATCGCTTCGCAATTCAAAGCGGTGTTGCCCCAATCGATGTTGTTGCAGTAACGACTTCGGTATCGATATTTGTCTGACTGTCGGTTTCATTCGGTTTCGATATATTTTGGGATCCCCATCGGTGAGGCCGATGATATTCCCCCAAAATTTGAACGTGGCCCGTCAACTTTATACACAATCATGTCGATGTTTCCATCGACGTGATTAAGGGCACCATCGATATTATACCGATCGTTGTTTACTGGGTAATCCACATTATAGTACCACTGTTCAACCCAAGTATTATTGTTTGGATGCTGCACACCTCACTTTATAATAATGGGAAACTTTCATAAATACCCTCAAAAATCCACATAGGCTTTTATGTTTTTACGTGGCCAGGCGTTGGTTTCTGACTTTATAACATTTTATAACCAAAACATGCTGGTTCTCCACTTTATACACCCCTATAATGTGGCCATCCCATTTTATACCAGGCTTTTCCGGGCTTGACGAGATACAGGGGTCGCCTTAGTAGTTGTCGTCGCTGCAAGCCATCATGAATGGTTGGGGATTGAATCCGAAGCTGCAAGTTCACACGGATTCATCAGCCGCAAGTTCACACGGATTCATCAGCCGCACTTGTTGCCTGCAATCGGCATGTACAGACCCGCTTCCTGCGGGCACAATAGAAGCTAGCTCAACAAGAGTTTTCTTTGGCTAAAATAGCCACAAAACTGAACATGTCAGGCATCTGAACCAAAAGTTTGCCTGCAACTGAAATGGAGTTGCACATGAGGCGAATGGGCTTTGAGCACGCTTACGGCAGAGCCGAGGTTGCTATAAAGCGCTTGTATTATCCACCATCTCAAACCTCTGTACAGGAGGGGTGACGAGATATAGGGGTTGCCTTAGTTGTTTGACCATATGTGTCAACATGGTATGGGTTTGGCTCAAGGAAAATATTGCGCTGCTTATTTTCTGTTCAGGGCTATATATGGGGGACTTCGTTGCTTCTGCATATCAAAATCTTCAAAACCTTCCCTAATAGGCCATTGATTTCCTATAGCCATTTCATTTTTCGAAACTTCCGCCCCGTCATGGGCCGGGCACTTTCTGGTATTCCTATATATTATAATATATATATATATCTCTCTCTCTCTCTCTCCCTCCCTCCCTCCCTCTCCCCCTCTCCCCCTCTCCCCCTGTTACTTATTTTGTTTTACGTGTCTACACAATGCTTTCATGCATGTTGACATGTACACTTAATTCATTATCTTTCATGCGCACTCCGCATGGCTCAAGATTAGCAGCAATCCGCCGCGTAGAAAAAGAGTGCCGTCGCTCTCACTTGTCACAGGTGTTTAGATTAGGTTCCAGGGCTCCCTAAAAGGGGATAGCTACCTCAAAGTGGTAGCGGAGCCTGTGCCTTCGCCAAGTCTAGATCCGTGTGCCGAACTGCCGTTCTCTGCATACATTCCGTATATCGTACTTGCGGAGGCAACCTGTAGATCAAGTTAGAGTAGCTGCCATGGTCTTAATCCACAACATGGATTCAGATGAAGAACAACTCCAGATTGTCTCTTATGAAGAGCCGGAAGCATATGCCGCCACCAGTCATTCCGAAAACCGGATGGGCATCAAAATGACACCGAAAGTTCCACCCCAATTTGATGGCCAATCTAGCTCGTTTGAATATGAAGATTTAATTGATGACTGGTTAGGGATCACAACATTGGATGCAGATAAGCACTCACCATCATTAAAGAATGCCCTCATTGGTTCCGCTTCTTTTTATAAGTCGATGCTCGATAATGCCCTACTCCGAGATCCGGATCGTGGCCTCGCTCATTTCAAGGACACATTGAGACCATACTTCGTGAAGGGAGTAAATCATGTGTTCCTTTGGCGATTCCTCCAGATGTTTCGCACATATCGAGGCCAGAGTGAATTCGTGCACTGGATAGGGCGATTCGAAATCGCGCAGAAGCGTTTGTTGGCTTCTTGGTCCGATCTGCTGGACATATCCGATCTTCCCGAAGCAGGCACTCCGGCATTTACGGCAGCACTCACTGATGAGCAAAGACTGCACTATAACCAGATAGTAACAGATGAAGATAAGCTAGCTTATCAACAAGAACTGAGAGAACAGACCATAACCAATAGAAGGACCAGACATGCACAGCAGTTTCCATTGTCAGACAATTTGATGTCACTGATTTTCCTAGTTCAAGCAGACCTCAACGAGCAACAACGTGAGCGTTTTGTCTCGTCCATGAACATCCGTCAGATTGCAATGCCTCAGTATACCTATCTCCAAGTGAAACAGCTGTTCTTAGAACTTTTTGCCGTTTCTCGCACAGGTGTTGCAGATCCAAACATCACACACCGCAAGCGGTCCAACTTCTACGTCATCGACGAGGGCGAGACCGATGAAGGTGAGTACGGATTTTGGGTCTTTGATGAAGAGACAGGTGAAGAAGGTTTCACAGGTCTGTACACAGAGAACGAGTTCTGGGTTCTCAGCGCCAAGGGTTCATACTCTAAGCGCCGTATCTACGGCAGGTCCTTCAAGAAAGGTAAACCAAAAGGTTATGGCAAGAAAGGAGGAAAAAGATCAAGACCCGGCTTCCGTCCGAGGTCAAAAGGCAAGGGTTTTGCAGCATGGGAAGATGACCAGCAA